CCCAACAGCTTATTCCAAAGTGGAACAAACCAGTTATGTTGGTGCTAAGATGGTCTCTTTGGCACACCCCCTCCTCAAGTGCCAGCCCTCTTCCTCATCGACAGTCATGTCAAATTGGTTTAAAACCAACAAAGTCCATGCTCAATAATCCAGGTATACAATCCAACAATTTTTGGTCTGGTCATCTGGATAGTTTCATTTTTTGTGTGCTGAAACGTTTCACCTTCCATCCAGAAGGCTTCATCAGTCAAGGAAGCACACAACTCAAAACTGATTCTTCCCCCAACAGCTTATTCCAAAGTGGAACAAACCAGTTATGTTGGTGCTAAGATGGTCTCTTTGATGGTCTCTTTTCACTGAATGGTGTGAGTCTTCCTTTATAAAGGTAAATGTTTCTAAGACAAAGGAGATGGTCACTGATTTAAAAAAAAAAAACTCTTCAGTTGCCACTCCTGTGGTCATTACCGGTGAGGCTGACGGTGCGTCAATATAAATATCTGGGAATTGTTCGTGATTACAAACTGACCTTTGATGCACATGTAGACTCACGTTGTAAGAAGATAATGTATTTTTTATCAGAAGCTCTGTGGTTTAAATGTTGATTCTACTTTTATAAAAGTGCTTTACTGAGTCTTAACTTTTTATCTTCATGTGTTGGTTTGGACTTTTGACATGCAAAAACAGGAACAAACTCTTGGGGATTGTCAGGATGTGCAGCAAAACTGCTGGTATAGCCCTACAGAACCTCACTGACCTACACAAGGCGAGGTCAGTGGACAATGCCAGGCTGATTCTGGCAGATCCTGTTCGCCCACTCCATGGTGAGTTCAGGTTGCTTCCATCTAGACGCAGGTATCTGCTGCCCAGATGTAGGACGAACAGACTGAAAAACTCATTCACCCCTGTAGTGATCAGGCTTCTCAAAGAATAGTGATGATTTTGGTATTGCTATTTAAATGTCTTAATATCTTGTCTAGTATGAATGTTTTATGTGCCTACTGACTATGAAGCAAATTGCCACTTGAGGATAATTGAACTTGAACTTAAACCACGATCAGAAACCCTCTCCAGTTTCCTGTTCCCTGAAAGTGAAACCTGCTGTCCAGGGGCCTCATGTGCAAAGACTTGCGTGGATTTCCTTCTGAAACATGATTTATGCTTAAATCAAGAAAACAGCATACGCACAAATAAATCCAGATGTATAAAACCGTGCATACGTATGAATCCTAGCACACTTTCTCAATACAACACAATCAACATGGAATTGAGCGCACATGAGGGAATACTCCTCCTTTGACACGCCTCCATCCAAATAAGTAAAATAGATGCAAACATATCTTGCATGTGAGATTCTCATCCCTCGTCCTCCACCGGCGCAGATCTACCGGTGGAGCCTTTTTAAGGCATTTCCAACTTTACACCGGTGTTTAGTAAATAATTACTGTAAACACAAAGGCACTCTGGAGTTCAGCAGAACTTAAATCTTATTCTTTAAATGGTTGATGCAGCAAAATGAGTAGCCAAGAATTAACTAAGTATTTACTCTGCTATGTGTGGATATTTTATATATCAGGGCATCACATGGATGAAGTCATCCCATCCAGCTGGCATGGCCCGGCTCCGGGACAAATGAGAGATACCTGGCCAGTATTTGGTTGGTGTGATCCCTGAAAACACGCTGCCTCCCAATTCTTCCATTAATGACACCGTCCTGCACCACCACAGCTGTCATTATCCCACAGATACGTACAACTTTATGCAGCTATTTAATAAGTGCTATGTGTTGTCATCATTGTGTTTTCATACAATGGTGAAATTAGTTCCCTGCATTTAGCCCATCACATGTGAGATACACCGAGATGGAGCAGTGGACAGCAATTACCTAGCTGCAATTGCATAGCCCAAGGAGCAATTACAGATTAGATGTCTTGCTTAAGGACACCACAAATGTATGCATGGCAGGGAGGTGAACCTATGGATTGTACTTATATGGCGCCTTTCAAGATACTCAAGGTGCTTTACACAACAATCTGTGTCCTCATTTACCAATTCATACAACACTAATAGGTCTCTACAAAGCTAATTGAACAAATCATTCTAAGGACAATAATCAGTGCTTTATCACATTCATACACCGATGGGACACACATCGGAGGCAATGAGGGGTTCAGTGTCTTGCCCTGGGACACTTTGGCATGCGACTGCCAGTGGATTTGAACTCCTAACTCTTGCATTGGAGGACGACTGCACTAACCACTCAGCCGCAGCTGCCCCACTGCGACTTTCTGGTCCCAAATCGGCTGCCCTACGTCTACACTATCTGTGCCCCCTATTTATGGACATATATGATGGTGCGCACCTTGTAGACCTGAGGAGTCATCAGAGATGAGTTGTTCTGAATGAATTTGCTGATCTGACATAATTTTATTCTCAGAGAGAATGAAATGCCTCATACACAGTTCACACTTTATGCTCCTCATCTGTCTGAGCACCTTGCAGGCGTGCGCTCACTGACATGTTTACATCTACATGTGACAGAAGTCTAAGAGACTTTACAGTTTACATTGAAGTGAGGTTGTTTTGATCGTTCTGGAGGCGTTTTAGACGTTCTGTTGTTTGAGGTTAAATGTGGTTCAGTTTCCTTGTTTGGATTTAAATAAAAAATGCCCAAACTTGTGAAAAAGAAAGTGTTCAAATCCTTTACGTTCAGAAATACAAACAGTCATATTTCGATGATACTGTGGACTGAAAATATTTGCGTGGAGGTAAGAACATTCTCACTGCAGGTCAAAAATGTGCGTGAAAGTACGCACACTTTCACGTAACGTTCATGTTGATACATCCTGACATGTGCGTGGAACCTGGCGCACGCATCCTTTTCACGCCCACAACCAAGATCCTGGAAGATTAATCTGCACAACTGCACTAAAACACTCTAAATGCGAATTTATACTGTATCAGACGCGCCAAACTTTATTCATGCTGACTTGGTTGCGCGACAAAATTGTGTTTTTTTTTTTTTGTTCTCCCACCGTTCCCGAGAACCCATTCTGTGCACAAGCTGCTAGCAGAACTTCTTTCTTGCAGAGGTATGCTCCAAGTGTTGTGTGATTTGGTTGAACTTAGTGGGCGTGTTAATGCAGAAAAGCAATTGAACTGTACTGCTTTCATTTTGCAGCAGCTGCTCTGCTGAGGAGCCGCTGGTCGAGGTCGTTAGAAAATGCAGTCATCTTTACAACTGACCCAGCAAAACGTATAGAGATAGTCAAAGTTCTTTGACGAGTTCTCGTGGAAGGAGAGAGCACAATTTCTGTGCATGGAGACAGCGAAGTGTGTGAGGGGTTACATCTTTAGCTGGGAAGCTCGGGACACATTCACAACCACGTTAGCGAGAACAGGTATTTGACGTCCTTTAACGTCTGAACGCTGACTCAGAACTATTGTTCTGTTGTTGTTTTTCAATCTAACCACTTCTAAAGATTTTTTTCATCTGTTCGTATAGTAAAATGTTCAATTCATTCGACAGATGGATGCTATTACTTTTGTTTTGTTTTTTTTGTAATTCCTATAGAAGTACATTGAGATCTCGTCAGTTCCTCCAAAAACATTGTTCTTTTTGAAATATGCTTCAGTCTTAGCTACTGTTTTGCAACATTAAGCTTTCAGATATACCAGTACTTTTGCTAATTTTAGCTTTTAGCTTGTATGTTGCATTACAAATTTTAGGTGGTATTTTGCTATTTTTAGCTTAAGTTAGCCATTTGGTGCTTATTTTAGCTAATGTGGAGTGTCTTTCAGCTCTAACAACTCAGTTTGAGCTTCTTTAGCAAATTCTTGTATTCTCTGAGCTCTCAGCATTCACGGTCAATATTAGAGGAAAATGTATCTCCAGTTATTCTTTTCAAATGTTTGTTTTGTATGTTGTTGCATAGCTTCGAGAAAACAAACACATGTGTAATTTATCTAAACAAGCATCAGTCAGAAATTGTAGGCTCTTACATTTGGTAGAGATATGTCTCACAGCATTCACAAACTCAAGAAGAAACCAGGAAAAAATCACGGCCATCAATGGGATTTTGAAATGCTAAATGGTTTTTACACAATTGTACTTTTATTTTAATCCACAGAAAGTTACACTGACTGTCTAACTTTTAAAATATCTAACATTTCTAATGTTTTGCAAACAAACTGCTCACTCCCACAACTCTTTTTGGTTGGTATTTTATCATCTTTTATCATCTTCTGTAGGACTGATTTTCTCTCAAACCCTATCAGAGGTCAGAGGTCACGCCCAAACTTTGGTTATATTAGCTCAAAATTTTTATCTTTCAAACAGGAAGTGCAAGTTTTTATCCAATTTGCCGTTTTAACGCAGAGACTTTCTGAGGCTTACTTTTCAGTCTGTTTCTAACTGCCTCGCTTGAACTTGTAGTAGTAACAGACAGAGTTGTGTGGTTACCGTGGTAACAAAAAAAAGCCACCTGCTCCAGATTTACTCTTGATCTTAGTTCTCTTCGCACTTCTTATCTATCAAAATGTCTACATTTTTTCCAAATTCAAATTATTACTAAGTTAATGAGTTTTGAGCTCAGCTGTGTCACGAACATTCATCATTTACGGGGAACCATTAAGAATGTGAACACTGAACAGGTACCGGTTCTGGAGGGGAGCTGGTAGGATCTGAGCTGCCGGCCTGTTCGTCCATCCAGGAACGAATCCACAAACTGACAGTGGTCCTCGCCGAAGCCGCTCTGGTCTCCGATGTTGTAGAACTTCCCTGCAGGGTAAAACGAACGTTGCACCAGGTGAGATCTAGAACCAGGTGCGCTGTGACGCCAGTTCAGCAGGCAGCATGGGTTTTACTCACCGGTGAGCGAGTCACTCAGATAGATTTTGTACCTGAGCGAGTTGCACAACTGGACACCAACAAACTTGCGGTACCACGTCCGTTTGACGTACTGCTTGCCGTCACAGTCCGAGTACGAGTCGGTCTTAAAGGGGAACTGGGTCCAGATGGCGTCTTTTCCTGTAAAGAAAAGAAAAGCTCTTTGTATCTTGATAAAACTTTATTAGTACCACAGAGTGGACAATAGTTTGGTGTTCATTTACCTGAAACGTTCTCGCTAACACGCGGGTCCGCTGCAAAAAACAAAAACAGTTTAAAATAAATTTCCAAACGTCAAACAGAGTTACAAAATGTTGAATTAGTATTGAAAGTTCTTCAGTCCAAATCTATAATGTCTTGGAACCAGTAAACCTGTCTGCAGTTGATGGACTGTGTGATCGGAAAGCCCCAGGCAGAGAACTGTATGTTTTCTCTCAGAATAGCCAAAAATGTAGTTTTTTTTCTTTTTCTTGGTTATTTATGTGAAAGTAGATTCAGAGCCTTGAAAGTTGAATTTCATGCTCATCATCTGTGGCAGCAGCTGCGCCAGAGGCCAACGCAGAGCCGAGACGGAGCTGAAGTGTCTGAATGTCTGGAAGCCACAGAGCGGTTCTGGAGGCTCGGTTTGACAGAAGCTGTTTGGGTTTGGACTCTGATGAAGGCAGGAAGGTGGTTTAAAGAGGAGGAACCGTACCGGACTCTGTGTTGAAGGAGACCGGTTCACTCGGAGGACCTTCTCCCAGCTCGTTCTTTGGCTTCACCTTAAACTCATAACTGAGAAAAGAAGAGAAAGAGGACTAATTAAAAAATAAAAATTTAAAGTTATTCAGAAATTTATGGACTTTTCTTAAAGTAGTGAGTTCAAATTTTTAAAGATTTTTGGATTTCATTTCAGTAATATTTCTGTGGAAATACAGTGCGAACAAATGCTAGCTGAATGCTAACTGAAATCTGCTAAAGAAGCTAAAACTGTGTTTTCAAAGATAAAAAAAAACAAAAAACAGAACACTACCTAGACAGTAAAAGTGGTAAAATGCTTGCTCCATGCTTAAAGGAACGAAACAGTAGCTAAAAGCTAAAAGGAGCAAAACACAAGCTAAAAGTTAAAGTAGCAGAATTATAGCAAAAAGTGTCAAAATGCAAGTTAAAAGCTAAACGTAGCAAATTGCCCATTGAAAAACAAAGGTAACAAAAAGTCAGCAAAGAATAGCACAATGCTAGCTAAAAGCAATGAACATTAGCTAAAATTAAATATAGCAGAATGGTATCTTAAAACAAAACGTAGCATAAAAGGACAAAGAGACAGTAGGTGAAGCTGATTTCAAAGAAAACATTGTTAGAGGAATTAAAAAGACGTTTGAACTATTTATGGGAAAATATTTGTAAATAAAGTTAAATCAATTATAAAATTTAAATGTTACTAGAAAAATCCACTTAACATTTTGAGTTAAGTATAGCTAAAATAGCATGAAGTCTGCAAAGTTAGCTAGATTATAAAAAGTATGGAAAAATAAACAATCGCATGAATGCTGACTCGTCACTCACGCAATACAAACACTAAAACAACAATGAAAAAAACACAAGTTAGTTCATTGACTTGTAAGGAAAAAAATCTATATTTTGATTAATAGAAACATTTTGAAAGTTCATTGACCCAAAGTTAGCATTCTGGTGTGAGGAGTGAAAATCATTCCAGCACCAAAAGACCTGAGGTTCTGTTGTCAGAGTGTTAGAAGGTCAGAGAAGTACTGAGGTGCATAGCGTGTAAAAATTTGTAGGTGAGAAGAATTTTGGATCTGAGACCAATCTGGAAGCGAAGTTGGGCCATGTGTTGCCAGGGTTATATGCGTCTGGCAACAGAGGTTTGGACAGACTGAGAACTTTAGTGTGTCTTAAACAAGACTTCAGTCCAAACAGTAGGTGATGAAAACCAAGGGCCAAGGACTGATGCCCAAAGTCTTGAGATGTTTGCAAGATGGAAGAAAAATTGATTTTTTTTTATGGATGTGATATGCAACTCAAAGGAGAGAGTGGAGTCCAGGACAACACCAAGGTTATCTAAGTACAGAATTTTTTTTTCATTCAACCTTTATTTATACAAGTTAGTCTCATTGAGCCTTGAGGACTCGTTTACAAGGGAGACCTTTTTTAAACAAAGAATGATGACAACAGTAGATAATCATAAAAGAAAGCTTATAAATTGAAAAAAAAAATGGAATAATTTTTTATTTTTAAAAAAACAGCTACAGTGTAAAGTGATGTAAAATATTAAAAACAGGAACATGTCTGCAATGGTCCTTGCCATGAACTTTGCAGATGTTTGAAGCCACTTAGAGAAGTCAAGGTCGATAGCTTCAGATCTTTTTGCAAGATATTACAGGAAACAGGAGCAGAGTAGGAGAAGGCCCTTTTGCCAAGTTCAGTCTGCATTGAGGAAACACTGCAGGTAATAATGTCCTGAGAATGCACGCTGTAGCTGCACTCACACAGAGACATGTAGGAGGAGATGTATGAAGGCAGCAGACCAAGAAGTGATTTAAAGATGAAAATGTACCAGTGGGAGAGTCTGCATGAAGTTAATGATGACCACAGTTACAAGGCGTTCCCTAGCATTCAGAGTTAGACAGGATCTATTTCTGAAAAAGAAACCCAGTTTAACTTTCAGTTTCTTTACCAAGTTTTTGACATGAGGCTTAAAAGAAAGGTATGAATCCACCAAAATACCCAAATATTTTGTAGGAATCGACAAACTCATTAGAAACACCATTTGAAGATATACTAGAAGGAAGGACTACTGGGACAGACTTCCAGTTTGAAAACAACATCCCTTTGGTTTTGTCGGCATTTGGTACCAGTTTGAGACAGAAAATATCTGACTGGAAGATGTCAAAAGTGGATTGCAAAAGCTGGAAAACCTTAGCAACTGTTTTAGCTTGACAGTAAACAAATGTATCGTCAGCATAGACATGTATCAGGGATGATCTGACCTACATTACCTATGTAGATTGAAAAGAGGGTGGGTGCTAAGACTAAGCCTTGTGGTTCACCATTGTTAACAGTTAGATAACTGGAATAAGTACCATTATGTTGAACACACTGCCTCCAATTTGAGAGATAATCAGAGAACCAACCAATGGTGTGGTCTGAGAAACCAGTTTCTGAGAGCTTCTGACATGACTTGATAGAAATATATCTTCTTTAGAGTTATAACCAGGAGCTAACAAAATAGACTTAAAGACATCCAGGCTTTGGTATTCTTCAGACAGCTAACTAGAGAGGGATGGATGAATTAGTGCTAACATAGGTTTGAGTATCATCAGCATATAGATTTATTTCCAATCCCATGGCTGCAACAACCATTCATCTAAAAAAAAATTTCCAGACACTTTGTTGTTTGCACTAATGTCCATAAAAGTTCTCACCAAACCTAAATATTATGGGTTGTTTTTGTTCTTTATTCAGCTCTCCATCAAGTTTTAGAAAGTTTGATAGAATTGTTTTTTCTCTGTAATTGTTCTACAGAACAGTAAGACACAAAATGCACTTCTAAAGTATTGCCCCTAATCAGTGCTCAAAGTTGGCCCGTACTCACCGGTACCCAGAACTGCACTTCAAAATGTTGATCCCAAGCAAACCTTCACTTTTTATAGCATACCGCCACTTCTCATAAAACCGTCAGTTCTCAGCATCACTAACCGTAAGCTACCAGTGATTCATATAAAATACATAACCTATAGGATATTGGATGAAAACAAGAAGTAACCCCTCCACTTTGACTGGTTGTAAATTAAACTTTGAACTTCTAATGTGTTTACAAAGAAAATACCTTCAAAAAAATTTAAGTGGTATTATGTTTTAATTCCTTTGACTCAAAGAGCTGCAGAGCCTAAAGAAAATACAGACATCTCACAGGAAGTGCATGAAGGTGAAACTGTTCACCAGTACCCTAAACTGGCCTTGAACTAGACTTCATTTGCCACGTTCTTCCTTCACACCACATAACTTTCTCACACCAGGGCTCATTAAAGTGCTGCTGAGCGTCGACGAGAAACTGCTTATTTTTCTCCACTCAGCTGCCTCGGCGTGTTTGCACAGCTGTGCAAAGAGACTGCAGAGCCAAGCTGCAGATGTTAAATCTGAACATCCACAGCAGAAGGGTCTTCTGATTCATCATTACAACCCCCCAACACGAAAAACGTTGTGTAAAATGTAAATATAAACAAACTGGATTGATTTGTACATCTCATAAACCTATGTATTATTCATAAATGATCACAGTAAACACATCAAATGATGAAAGTAAGAAATTTTAAAGTCTTCCTGATATTCTGTTGAGGAACATTATTCTGAAATGGTTCGACTAAACGTTGACAGTTTTTCACAGATGAGTGAACGCCTGCCCATCTTTACTTCTGATGGACTCAACATCTCGAAAATACTATTTTTATACCCAGTCCTCTTATTGACCTGTTACCAATTAACCTAGTTAGTTGTAAAATACACCTCCTAGTTGTTTCTTATTCATACCACTGACTTTTACGACGTTTTGTTACTCATGACAACTTTCAACAGATTAGAGCAGGGCGAGATATCGATATTTTAAAAATATCAATGTATTTTTTTGCGATATAAGTTGAGACTGTATCGATATAAAACGATAGTTTTATACTTGGAAATTCTCCTACTGTCTTCTTTCTCCCGCATGGCCCCCCTTCTTCTCTCTCCTTGAACACAAGCACACAGCCCTCAGCCGCGCTCCCTTCCTTCCTTGTCCTCGGGACATTTAGCACAAGTAAAGATGGGAGAAACACAGCTGCTTAGCTGCTGAACATAAAGAAAGACAATGACTGTTCTTTCGGAGATGGTTTGGATTTAAATTGTCCGATGAGGGGCAGAAAGATGATTTCTGTAGACAATGCTGAAAACAGTCCTGACGAAAGGTCGGAACTACGAGTCTTTTCACCGTTTAAAACAGCGGAGTGGAATACGATGTGGAATGTGAACTGCAGCTGCAGGTCCGAGTGTCTTTTTCAGCCTCCTTCCCTGAAATAAACCATGGGTCAGAACTTATTTAACCATGCTATGCCTTATGAGAGGAAAGGTGAGAGGTGGCGCCGCAATATTAACGAATTAGCAGCTTATCATATTGCTAAAGTCAAGGTCCTTAACAGCTAACAAGACGGCTAATGCGTTAGCCGTCTTGTTCCACAGCTGAGACTGGAATCGCGTCTTAGTGATATGACATTTATTAATGTCGCCACCTCTCACCTTTCCTCTCATAAGGCACAGCATGGCTAAATGAGTTCTGACCCGTGGTTTATTTCAGGGAAGGAGGCTGAAAAAAACACTCGGACCTGCAGGTGCAGTTCACACACGCTTACTAACGTCAAGGCGGCGCAGCTGAATGGACTGTACTTATATAGCACCTCTCTGTCTTGTCAAGACGCTCAAAGCTCTTTACAATACAATCTGTGTCCTCATTTACCCATTCATACAGCACTCTACTAGATCTATACATAGAATAATCAGAGCTTTATCACATTCATAGACCAATGGGACACACATTGGAGAGGTTCAGTGTCTTGCCCAGGGACAGTGACTGCTGGTGGAATCAAACCCCCAACTATCCCAGTGAAAGACAACTGCTCTAGCCTTTCAGCCACAGCTGTCCCCAGCTGAAGAGGATTATTATTTAACATTGTATATGTAAATAAATGTCTAAAAAACAAACTTTAATATATGTAAATAGTTTATTTTTTTAGACATTTATTTTGTGCAGATACAAATGTTAATAAATGTGGCTGTGTGACAAACGGGACAAAGCTTTGATTCAGAAATATATTTTTGTTATTACTTTATGGAAAGAACAAAATATCGAGATATATATTGTATATCGCGATTTATCTTAAAAATATTGAGATATTAATTTTGATCCATATCACCGAGCTCTACAACAGATGTGTTGCTACCATTAAATTCAAAATGGTCCCCTTTAAAAAAAATTTTAAAAAAAAAATGGTACAACTTCCTAGTCTTGTGGGAGTTCCTGTTTTTCTTGCTGCTCTGAAGACACTAGATGGCGCCAACATTTCCACACCTGAAGATAATCTTAACGAGATGCCAGGAGTAGAAAAGGCAGTAGATGACTTCTCCTCGCCACTGGAGCATTACCTGCCACTGGTAGTCATGCTTCTAGCCCTTTTGTATTCTATGATCCTTGAGAAAGACTTACCTGTGTTCCTTTTAAAGTATCTCTTTGTGAACTACATGTGCCTGGACTTCTTTGAAGAACCCCTAAAATTATATTGTGTCTCCTCAGCTGCCTTCCTTGCCCTACTACCCAACCTGCAATAAGAACTGAAATCTACCAACAATATCATTCTCCTCTTATATCATCTAACTCATGTCCTTGCTCCTCGGGGTTCCTGATGCGCTTTATTACCCACTGTAAATAAAATCACTTTACATTTATTCTCTGACTTGAAGTTTGTTCACGAACTGTGTTCCGTTGTGAATAAATTATTAGTTTTTTTTACATTTTACAAAACATCCCAATTTTTTTTCAGAATTGAGTTTGTATAAACCTGCTTTCATGACAGAAACTGAAAGATGGTTTTTGCTTCTTTAAACCACATTTCTTCTTCTGCTAACTTTTCTACCTCCAGATAAAAATGAACTTGTCTTTAGTTTAGTTCCTGGATAGCACAGATGAGCCTACCTGCTCTCAGGATTGAGGTTTTCCACAGCGGTGTGCGTCTGATCAGTGGTCAAGACAGACACTCGTTCTCCATCAGGCCCTTTTGCTGTGGAGATGACTTCATATTCTACGGATAGTGAAATGCACGATATAGAATCGCTTTCTTTCTGTTTTTAGGATTATTATGTGCGTAACGATAAGAGTTTCTTTTAGATTTAATTTCTTCATACCGGTGGTGTCTTTGTCTGCTTTCTCCCAGTCCAGGATGATGAAGGACGGACATCCTTCTACCGTCACCACGGTGAGGTTGGACGGTGGACTCTTGGGAGGAGATGTCACGCTTTTCTCTCCGCGTTGGTCTTCGGGAAAATACGTGAGAGAGGAGGTGATGGAGCAGGGCTCGTCGGGCTTCTTACCAGTTTGGTAGACGACATGTGGCGCTGTGGGTGGAGGAAGGGACGAATTAGTTGCAGACGAAGCAAAAAATTTACGAGATGTTTGTTTCTACGCTTTAATCATCTGGGATGAAAACGTACCCACAAAACGTTTATTTCCCAGAGCGTCAACATCAGAGCTGGGCTGTGCCTGGAATAGTTCCGATTTCTCCCAGGTTTCTTGTTGGGTCACTGAAAGAAGAAATGAAAGATTATGGGATTCAAAGTTTAAAGATAAAGCTGAAGGATATGTTCCCTTTTCTTTACTATATTTGGTCTTAAAGCAGCATGAAGTGGTTTGTGCAAATTTGCTAAATCTGGCACCAGGTACATGCCAGGCAAGTATCCAGTAAGGTACGATAAGTGCCAGGCTGTCTAGTTTCCAAAAGTTAAAGTTACAATAACTGGTGATTATAGAAAAACTGTCTAAACCAGGGGTCTGCAACCTGGGGCTCTGGGGCCATATGCGGCTCTTTGTAGCTTTGACCAAAACATACATGAAATTTAATTCTATTGGTTTTTATACCAGGGCAGCACGGTGGCGCAACTGGTAGAGCTGCTGCCTCTCAGCGAGCAGGTCCTTGGTTCAAACCCCGGTCCAGGGGCCTTTCTGGGTGGAGTTTGCATGTTCTCTCCGTGCATGCGTGGGTTTTCTCCGGGTACTCCGGTTTCCTCCAACAGACCAAAAACATGCATGTTAGGCTGATTGGTAACTCTAAATTGTCCCTAGGTGTGAGTGAGAGAGTGAATGGTTGTTTGTCTCGTTTGTCTCTATGTGGCCCTGTGATGGACTTGCGACCCGTCCAGGGT